AATTAAAGCCATAAAAACAAAATGCTTTGTCAGAAAAATACAACTTACGAGAAATAAGTAATAACATGAAGGTTGCTTTTTAAAAATTAATTTTCTGCCGGGGAGATGGCTCAGTGGAATAAGTGTTTCCCTGGCAAGCACCAGGGCCTGAGTTCAATCCCCGGTTCCGAAAAAAAAAAAAAGAAAAATTAATTTTCTAAAAATAACCATCACTGTCAAATTTATTCCTCCACAGAAGCTAGTGTAAGATTCCGCAACTAACAGCTTCTAAAGAAAACATCTGACTTGACAATCTTTATCAGAATACCATGATAATTAATGCCTTCACCCCCCCCCCCAACACACACACACTTGGAAAATATAAAATCCTACATGGAGAAAAAACTTCTTTTAAATTAAAGCAACTGGGAATGCTATTGAATCCGACTGTAATCTCAGCTACATGGAAAGCTGAAGCAGGAAGATACGTTCAAAACCAGCCTGGACAAATTAGTGAGACCCTGTCTCAGAGTAAAAAAAGTAAATGCACTAGTGATGTAACACAGTGCTCTCTGGGTCCGATCCATCGTACTGTATAAAAATCAATTTATTTAAGCATGTGCATATCCACACATATATTTATACATGCATATGTCTCATTATTTTTATACTTTGTATTTCTTTTTAAGTCTTGGTAAGCAAGAGATGTTCAAAATGACAGGAGAGGGGGTATAGCTCAGGGGTACAGCATTTGACTGCAAAATGACAAGAGTGGCAAAACAGAAAGTCTTTCAGTGAAAATAATCTCAATGTGAATAATCAGGGATAAAGAGGATGATTTAAGTCAGGGTTCAGCAAATATTTTCTGCAACTAGCTAAACTGTGGTTATTTTAGGGCCTGCAGCACACACTATCTTACTCAGTATCTCAAAGCCAAAAGACAACATGTAAACAAATCCATGTGGCTGTGGCCAAATAAAACTGTTAGAGAAACAGGCAATAAGCTAGATTTGATTTATAGGGCAGTCAGCCAACTGCGAATTTAAGTCACTAAACAGAATTTCTTATAATACTTACATTTAACTAATGAAACTTATTCATTCATTAAATCAGTATTGGAGTACTCATATGTAATACACAAAAGCAGTAAACAGTTCTTCACTGAAATAAATCTTATATTTAATTTTAAATGTCCTTTTCCTCCCCATGGTGATGATGATTGAATCCAGAACTTCCCATTGAGCTACAAACACAGTCTTTTAAGTGTCTTTATTTTAACTAAACTCAGAAATTACTCTGAGTAATTTTTAAGGAATTTATGATAACTTTATGGAGCAAATAAATTCCCTTGAAAAACTTCACACATACACAAAGAGAAATTATCCTAATTTTAGAAGACGGGCAGGGATCCAGAAGAGAAAATACAGAAGATTCACTATTAAGGTATAAACCAAGGCTTTCCAATTCTTCCTAATGTAAACCCCCACTTCAAACAAAAAAGTTGTTTCACTTGATAGTCACTGCCTGTTTGTCATGATATAAGTGATTTTTTTTCCATGAGAGATAAAACAGCAGCTACTCACTGGTTTAAATATGTGAGTTAATTATTTAAAGCTGGTAATTTATAACTCAATGGAAAAAGAACCAGGGGGATAAAAATTTGCTAGAAACTTACTTTTATACCTAAATCCTCTCTTATGCCTAAAATTATCATTGAACCTGACAACCACCTAAAAGATACTACCTTTTCAATGAAGCTCAAAAAGTATTCTACAGAATAAAAAGATTAAAAGAAAAGTGAACACTCTCTCAGGCTTTCACAGAGAGCACATTGGCCAAGCAATGGCCGTGACTCATACACATAGCTGCACTGACAAAGGTTCTACAATCTGAGGTACAGGATCTCAGGATAAATCCTGAGGGGATTTCACTGACCTTCTCAGACCAAAAAGCTACAACTCT